GCTAATTTGAAATCAATCTCTCCATGAAAGGAAGTAATTGTCAATCAAGGAAAGAAGTAAATAATGTAATCACCTCTGCATAGAGTCGCATCTGTAGTTCTATTTTCTTCTGTAGATTATTCAGAGCGTTCAGTGCTTCGTTTTTTGCGAGTGTTTCTGTCTCTAGTTTTCTGTTCACCAATTCCATTTTTTGCAAACTTGAAAGCCCTTCTCGCTGTGATTCGTTCATCTTTTTAGCAAGACCATCTCTCTCTACAGTAATCTGCCTGATTTCCAGCTCCATCTTCGCTACGAGTTGTTTCATATTCCCCATTTCAGCAACGATTGCCTGATTCTGTTGTTGTTCAGAAGCGAGTCTGAAATGACGAAATTTTATTAATATTGGATATTATAATTTGTACAGTACGCTCGACACAACGAACTCATTTCCCTGAGTTATATAAATATTTATACATTGTTAACGTCATTTGAAAAGATTATAAAGTTATTCATGGCCTAATAGAAACTTCTCTTTCAGGTTGAATTGGAAAATTTATAAATATTTATAAAATCAAGAAAAGGGCTTTGTTGTGTCGACTGTAAAGTATAGTAAACCATTTTGACGCTTTAAAGCGCGGTGGTCGTCGCGCAGCGCGTGTTCGAATTTCATGTAAATAAACAATGTATTTTACACGCGTTGTATACGTCGCTATGAAGTCCCATATCGAACAAACGCGGCGCGACGACCACCACCGTTTAAACTTTCCCGCCCAACAAGTTGCTAACAATATGCATTTTGTATGGCAGAAACCGGGCAGACAGCACCCCACCATTGACACGTCAACAAAATGAGCGAAAATCGACTTGCTAGTTATCCGACGTGACGTGGTTAATTGTAAATAATGACTCGATTCAGTCTGTGATACTTTGTTTTCTAGTGGCGGGCTACTCTCAACACAACAAAGTCAAATTGAAACGAAAGGTCTAGCCGATTGAATAACTTCCTTATCAAATGACGTTATTGTGCACTGTGCTCGTTGATTGGCTAGTTGGATTTAGCTACCAATGAAATGTTTATAAATATGAAGGGAAGGGCTTTCTTGATGACAATATCGGCAGTATACTGCATCGGACCACATTTGAATCTAAGAATTCCAAAGATTAAATTATCTATGCAAATTTACTGTCATATTTCAGTCAGCAATGGTGATTTAAAACTACTAGTCACGGTATTCTTTGCCAACTTTTAATTACAATTACATTTCTGTTACGTTGAATATCACTGTAATGCGCAAGCTCGCCTAGCAACTTTTCTTACCGTCCTTGCAGTTCCAGCACCAGACTGGTTTGTTTCTTTTCGGACATTTCCAGTCGTTGTCCTTCACTCATCGCACGCTGTAGTTCTGATCTCAAGCTTTCAAGTTCTCTTTCATAAAGAGTCTTGATAGCAACGACTTCCCCCTCTAAGTTATGAATCGCAGTCAACAGAGCCGAAGAATCACTCTGTAGGAAAAAAAAAATAAACAATTTTCTGATACAAATGTTTTTATCTAGTCAAAACAGAAAACATTGTTCCCCTGTTCTCAAATTGCCGCGCTCAAATCCCATATAATAATGTTTTTTTTTCATACAGCGGGAGGGTCGTCACCTGCGCATGCGTCAGATGGCCATAGCGTGTCATTGTTTACAAACAAGCGTCTATCCTATGAGGGGTGGGGATGACGGAAAAACTGACAAAAATCATAGTTCAAAAATGCTGCCGGTATCAATAACAAACAACAAATATGCTCGCATAAATCACGAGGAACCCATCGTAATAATGACTAAGCAGAAACTTTTTATGTTATGCTCTGGCAACAAAGTAGATCGCTGTGCCACTGTCAACTTACTGTGATTATATAAATTATTTACCTCAAATGATAGTTTCATTGTTAACAGTCCCGGAAAATTTGTTCATCAAATTATAATGTCTAACAATATCTAAATGTTATTTTTGTTTCTTATTACATGTACTACTAATATTTTATATTTCTTTGCTTAATTATTGTTTTATTTGTTATTGATGTTTGTTACTTGTTGTTGTTGTTGTTGTTGTTGTTGTTGTTGTATGTTTATTGACCATAGATAATGTAATTCAATGCATTATTTCGTGCCAAATAAAATATACTATACTACTATACTATAATTGTTTATTTATTATTGTGTTGATGATTTAGACACAATGGCTGCTATAGCACTGGTCTCTCTGACCGCCATATAAGTACATATGCAGTCACAATCCCTCTAGACGACTGTGATACAGTGCTTCAACTCATCATTGCGTACAACAGTAAATAACTGTTTAGCGAAACTTTTACAAAGCTGTGCCAGCAGAGGGCAGAGGGGGCGGTCGCCCCCTCTAAAAAAAGTGTTGGGGGCCATTCCATAATAAAGCTGAAAACCTTTGTGTCAGCAAAATGTGCCTCTCAAAATGCAGGAAATAGCGTTTCAGAGGGTCTATATTTCAACATTGTTAAGGGGGAGCATGCCCCGGATTCCCTAGTGAGGTCGCGCCTTCGGTGACCAGATCTCGCCCATGTGCA